CTTTTCCCAGGATTGGAAGCATGAAAGGTTCTAGACTCTTACCACTCTTATCCTCTCACATACTGGATCCTGTCCCATGCAGTCGGACAAGGAAAAGCAACTGAAAAGATGAATACATAAACTGTCTTCATTCATAGTCAACATGATCGTAACAGTACTTTTTTTTCATTGCTGTGACAAAATTAATTTAGAGAAGCAGGGTTCATTTTTGTTTGCAGTTTAGAAGGAGACTTTGTCCATCACTGGCAGGACAGGCATGGCCTCTAGAGCATGAGGTAGCTGGGAACACTGCATCAGTGTGGGGAGGGGGGGAGCTCAACTTATTTTCTCTCTCTCTTCCCCTCCTCCTTCTTAATTTTTTTTTTTTTTTTGGTTTTTCGAGATATTCTTTCTTAATTTTTAAGTCTCAGACTCCAAGTCATGGGATGGTCTTGCCCACAGTCAGAGTACATCTTCACTCCTCACCTAAGCAGACATACCCCAAAGTGTGTCTCCCAGGTGATTCCAAATCAAATCAAGTTGAAAATGATCTGGATTGACCATCACAGTAATGCAACTTTAAACACTACTAAAACTAAAAAATAAATTTGACAAGGTCATAGGCTATAAGACCAATATTCGAAAGTCAAGTATTTTATATCTATATAAAAGGAACAAATAATCCAAAACAGAAATTATAGAAAGATCTCATTATTAATAAGATACTGCTTAAGGACAAACTTAAAAGAAGTAGATTTCTCCTTTGAAAAACTATAAATAAGTCTGAGAGAAATGAAAGATCTCAATAAATAGAATTATATTTCCTGTTTATGGAGGAATTTCTACATTATTGAGATAGAAATTTTCTTTTTTTTACATTTTTTTCTTGTATTAAAAATATTCTTTTCTCGCCGGGCAGTGGTGGCGCACGCCTTTAATCCCAGCACTCGGGAGGCAGAGACAGGTGGATCTCTGTGAGTTCGAGGCCAGCCTGTTCTACAGAGCGAGATCCAGGAGCAAAGCTACACAGAGAAACCCTGTCTCAAAAACCAAAAAAAAAAAAAAATATTCTTTTCTCATACAATGTACTTTGATTATTGTTCCCCTCCCTCTACTCCTCCACACCTGCCCTTCCTTCAGATCTACTCCCTTTCTGTCTCTCATTAGAAAAGAACAGGCTTCTAAGAGACAACAACCAAACATGACAAAGTAATACATGATAAGATGAAGCAAAAACTATCATAGTGAAGTTGGACACTACAACCCAAAAGGAGGAAAAGAGTCCCGAGAGCAGGCACAAGAGTCAGAGACCCACCACTCATTCTCACAGTCAGGAGTCGCATAAAAATACTAAGCTAATAGCAATAGCGTATACACACTGGACTTGGTACAGACCCATGTAAGCTTGTGCTTGCTGCTGCAGTCTCTGTGAGCTCATATGCACCTTTCTTAGTTGAATCAGAGGGTCTTGTACTCCTGGTCTCCTCCATCCCCTCTGGCTCTTACATTCTTTCTGCCTCCTCTTCCACAGGGTTCCCTAAGCTCTAGGGGAGGGATTTGATGGAGACCTCCAATTTAGATTCTCTGTCTGCATAAATGCCTAGCTATGGCTATCTGCATCAGTTTCCATCTGCTGACAGAGGAAGTCTCTCTGGTGGTGACTGGATAAGGCACTGATCTGAAATTTTCTTAAATGTTACAGATTTGAAGCAATTCAAATAAAAAATCCAAGAAGTCTTTTTTTTTTTTTTTTTTTTACTTTAGAACATGATCTTGAGATGAAAAGGAAAATCAAAGGACCTATGTGGATATCGCTCTGTATGCTGTGAATGTGTTGCTCTGATTTGGTTGATAAATAAAATTCTAATTGGCCAGTAGCCAAGCAGGAAGTATAGTATAGGCAGGATAAGCACAGAGGAGAGTTCTGGGAAGAGAAAGGCTGAATCAGAAGACACTGCCAGCCACCGCCATGAGAAGCAAGATGTAAAGATACCGGTAAGCCAAGAGCCACATGGCAAGGTATAGATTTATAGAAATGGGTTAATTAGGATGTAAGATCTAGCTAGCAAAAATCCTGAGCCATTAGGCCAAACAGTTTTAATTAATATAAGCGTCTGTGTGTTTATTTGGGTCTGAGCAGCTACGGGTCCTGGCAGGACTGGAGAAAACTCCAGCTACAGACCTAGACTAGCACAAATACCTTTTTAAGAGAACAAACTGAAATAACTTATACTGTGCAATTCAGAACTTAATATAAAGCTGCAACAGTGAAGGAAGTGGGTGTGCAAAGGTAGACAGATACACAGGGAATAGTCCAGGCCTGGAGACGCATCCACAGACCTACAGCCAGTAAATCACCAGGAGCATCAGGAATTTTTTCACTTATAAAAATGTTTACAAAAACCTAACAATTATGAATATTAATGGGATATTGGCCAGCATTTTGATAACTATATATACTGTGTAGTGCTAAATCAGGTTAAATATATGTAGCTCCTCAAATATTTATCATTTTTTTTGTGGTTGAAACTTGCAAAGCTTTTTCTTCCAGTTTGTAGAAACACATAGACTATCACTGCTATCTATATGGGCACTCACACAGCAGAACTTCCTTCTGCCAACTGTAACTTGGTGTCTACAGGTCAGCTCCTCCCCATTCCCTTTCCTCACTTTGCTTACCCCCTGGTAAAAGCTATTTTACTCTCAACTGCTGTGCGACCACTCCTTCACACCCCACAGATCACTGAAATCATGTGATGCCTGCCTTCCTGCCCCGAGCTGATTTTATTGGACATATAATCTCCTGTTCTACCCATGGCATTGTAAATGACAGGCTTTAATTCTTTTTAAGGCCATGTGACATTCCATTGCATCAGTGCCACATTTTCTCTGTCCGTTCATCAGCTAATAAACATTTCAGCTCTTTCCGTTATGAACAGTACTACAATGAACATGGGAATTTAGATGGCTCTTCAACGTACTGATTTCATTTCCTTTAGATATGTGCTTCACAATGGGATTGTTAGACCATGTGATTTAATCTACATTTAATTCCTTAAGGAAATTCATTTTTTTTTTCATAATGGCAGTAGTAATTTATAGTCCACCAGTCATGTCCAGGGATCCCCTTCTCTCCATATCCCACCCAACACTAGTTATCTTTATTTTTTTTAATAGTATCTGTGTGATTCAGGGTTACCTAAAGTAATAGAGCATACAAAATTATGAAAGGGGATCAACTAGGCTGGCTTACACATCCCACAACATCTTCCTACAAGCTGGAGTTCTAGAGAAACCAACAGCTCTTCTGTTCAAAAAGACTAGAGGCTTCAGAAAAAGTGGAGGGCAATGGTTCAACCCCAGTGGGAGGCAGAAGGCCTCCAAGATCCCTGGAGGGTCACTGCTGTGAGGCCACACTCCAAACTGGAGGAGCTGGAATAGGGGTCACTGTCAGTGATGGCAACATGGGGAAGGGACCCAGTTAAGAAGGATGGAGCCCAGAAGGGTACAGGAAAGCTGTTCTGTTGCTTTTTCTCCTCCCGGTGATAAAGCTCATTGGATGGTGTACCCTGCCCCGCCCTGGTCACTGCCTTCACTTACCATATTGGGCTCTGCATGCCCCAGTAGTTTTTCATTCTTGGCTCATCAGGATATTTGGTGGTATTTATGTGTGGCCACTGGTCTGGCAGCTTAATTTCTGGCATAGGAGGAAGAGCCTATGTACGGCTTCAAAATATTATCAAAGCATAGTATTTTAGCCATCAGGAGACACAGCTGCTGAGATACAGCCATGGGTTTTCTTGGTTAACTCAAATTTAACTCCTTACCTAACCAGCTGATCAGGATATATCTAACCACAAAAGAGGTGGCTCTACATAACACCCTCTTCTTTCCAGCTTGTGTGTGCCTAACTGCTTACACTCACAATTACAGGGTAGAAAAAAAAAATACGTGCATATGTTATGTCTGAAAATAAAGGACTTGTATCTGGTGTGTGTGTGTGTGTGTGTGTGTGTGTGTGTGTGTGTGTGTGTGTTCTTACAACTCAATAAGAAGTAAAATACTAAACTAAAAATAGTCAAAGAAGTTGAAAAAACATTCTACCAAAAAAAAAGAAAGAAAGAAAGAAATTGTCAATGTTATTAGTCCTTAGGGAAATATAAAACCACAGTGAATAGCATAACTACAAACTAAAATTGCCAAGGTGACAATCTTAGATAATGACAAGGATGCTGAGAAATTGTATCACTCTAACATCACCAGTAAGATTGTGAAGTGGTACAGCCAATTGAAATGAAGAGTTTGGCAGTTCTTTAAGAGGTAAAATCTAGAATTACCATATGCTCTAGTAATACTACTTCAAGACATATATCCTCCCAAATGAAAACATACACAAAAAAATGTATATAGATATTCGTAGTAGTGTTATTTATAACAGTCAAAAATTGTAAGCAATCTAAGAGGCCATAAACTGACAAATTGAAAAAACTGTGGTAGATATGCATATCCATGTAATGAAATACTATTAAGCAATAAAAAGACTGAACTTGAGACACGTGCTACCTTCTACTTGGCTGAACACTGAAAACAGACCATTATATAAAAGAAGCCAAATGCAAAACACTATATATTTTGTGACTCTGTTTACATAAAAGTTCCAGAAAAGGTGGATTTACAGAGAAGGAAAGCAGATAAATTTTCCCCTGGAGCTGGAAATTGACTACAAAAGAGTACAGGAAAATATTCTAGGGTTAGAAATGTGTACTAGAATTGAGTGTGGTAAAGTTTGCTCAAACTTCTGCCCATCTGCTACAAATTCCTGAATTATACAATGTGATGATTTGTTTTATTGTCAACTTGCCACAAATTAGAATCACCTGAGTAGGGCTCCTCACCTGAGGAATTGTTCGGATTGCCTTAACTGATGTGGGAAGGTTCATCCAAGTGTGAGTGGCAACTTTTGGTGGCAGCCCAGATTGAAGAAATTATTTCCAAGGTTGCATAGAAGAAAGATTACTCACCATTGGTCTGCTGTGTTTTCCCTCTTGCTATGACGTTAATCTACTTTGTTGGTGGTGATGGTGGTGGTGATGATGATGGTGATCCTTTCACTGACATCAGAACCAGCCTTTCCAGGCTTCCATCATTGACTCAGGACCAGCAGCTCTCCAGGAGTTGTCTACACTTTTGGCACCAGAATGGGCCTGCTAGGGCACACAGCCTCATAGACAATGCAACTATCAGGTTCCCAGTCTCTCAGCTGTGAGACAGTTGTTACTATGGTGATGTAAGCTGATTTAGTGAAGTCTTAATATAGTCGTACTATTGGTTCTGTTCCTCTAGAAAATCCTGACTGGTACATACAATTACAATGGGTGGCTCTTATATTATATAAATTCTATCTCATCTTGATAACATCTTAAGACATAGTTTCACTGTTACTCATGCTACACCAAACCTATGGGTTCAAGCTACTCCTCGGTAGCTGTGACTACAGTTATGTGCTATCTCTTGCAGTTTAGAATTACTTCAAACAAAAACAGCAGCTACACAAACCATGTAACACAAGTTCTATTTATCCTATAATAGTATAAAAATCATGTATTTCATCAATATTGAAAATATGGATAAAAATCAATTTTTTTCATGAATTAACTCATGATAGAACTTTACTAGGGCCATTGATACCCAGTTATGTTACTGTTTAGCCACTTATGAGGTGAATTTATACAGGCTTGTAGCTATTCATCTCTGTGTATGTGGATTGCACTCAGGGATGCCCAGGTAAGGCATTCTTTCTGAGTGCATCTGTGTCCTCAGAGGAAGTCAGTATTTGAATCAGTAGACTTAGAACTGAAGATCCCACATCAGCAGCAAGGGTATCATCCAATGCACTGAGGCTGGGATGGAAACAAAAAAGTAGTAACAGAGTGAGTTCACACTGTTTTGAGCTGGGAAAAGTCTGTCTTCTGTCCACAGACATCAGGAATCTTGTTTCTTGTTTTGATATATCATTGAGTTCCAGGCCTTTGGGCTTACATTGGAACCACACTCTCAGCTTCCCTGGGCCTGGACTGGATTCTGCAACTTTTCAGCCTCGTGGTTATGTGGGCCAATCTTTCTTCTGTGTTGGTACATTCCGCTGTTCTGTTTCTCTAGAGAAGCCAGTCTCAGGCATGCTACAACAGCTTCTCATCACTTGGTAGTTTTCTTCCTCTCAGCGTTTTACTTAGCGTTTTTTTACTAATCATGATCATTTGGAATGGGTACCTGTTTAAAAGATGCTTCTTTTTGGTAACTTTTCCAGGACCATAGCCTCTAATTTCTATATATATATATTTTTTTTTTTTTGGTTTTTCGAGACAGGGTTTCTCTGTGTAGCTTTGCGCCTTTCCTGGAACTCACTTGGTAGCCCAGGCTGGCCTCGAACTCACAGAGATCCGCCTGGCTCTGCCTCCCGAGTGCTGGGATTAAAGGCGTGCGCCACCACCGCCCGGCTAATTTCTATATTTTTATGCCCTACTATTTGTTCTCTTTTTTCTCTCCTACTACCTTTTTTCTCTTTCATTCAGTTTAGATTTTCTGACAAAGATAACAAAAGTTAGCAATGTCTCCAGGTTATGGCAAATAAAATGACGCCTTTGCATGGCTTCTGTCCATTGTATTACCTGCCATTTGGTCTCTGAAGAACAGAGAACTAATGCAGAGGACACTGATATAATATATGTCTCTAAAACATCAAGCATGCGAAATGTTCTCTGCATCGCTGTGACCCAGTGAACTCACCAAGAACGGCTGCTGTCTACCCAGCCAACCAGAAGCCCCTGGAAACTGCTAGTCATTCTAAACTTGCCTTGTTTCTAATATCTTATCATCCATTAGCTGTGGTTTTGTACTCATTCTGAGTTCTGCGGTTGTCTGTCATTGACAGAGGAGTGGCGGTGACTCAGAATAACACATGTTCATCAACCTTGTCTAGAGAGCGTGGATAGAAAGAATCCAGAGAAAATGGCAACCTGCTTTTTGCTTCCACTTCCCATATATCTCCAGTTTTGTCATTCCCCACACCTAAAATCTCTCCTCCTTCCTCAACAGGTGAGAATTTAGCTTACCCAATTTGAAAATTAGGGATATAACTGCCATTGATTCCGGCCAGGAGCCAGCTGCAAGTTGTGTTATATCTGAATTCACACTGTCACCTTGTGTATAACTGCAGAGTTTTGCCAGATCTAGAAACAAAAAAATTAAAAAAAAAAAAAGAACTTAAATTTGAGATAGAAGAGCTAGGATATTTCTACATCAACTTAAACAACAGGCATGCCACTAGTGGGGATAACTGTGACTGACTTGGCGAGATTGTGACTAGCTGTTCCTCATGTCAGTTCTCAGTCTGGAGTGGCCATTATGATATGAAGGAAGTTGAGTTGAAGACTCTGGGAAAGTTTGAAGAAGTGACAGCAGCTCACTGACCCCTGGAGGCTATTGTCTGGATAGGAAACTTAGCATTGTGACAACCTCCTTCGGACACAAAGGTGAGCAGTCACAAACATTCTGTACTGAACCAAATTATTTTTTCTAAGCTTCACTTCTACTGTTTTCAATTATGTGTCTTTGTGTCAGTATGTGCATGTGAATGCAGGTGCCTATGGGGGGCAGAGGCGTGAGAGGCTTCCAGTGAGTTAGTTACAGGCAGTTGTGAGCCACCCAATATGGGTGCTGGGAACCAAACTTAGAGCAGTATATGCTCTTACCAATCTACCATCTTTCCAGCCCCAGACCATACTTCAGTTAGGCTCCTCTGAGCCCTCTCCTATTCTCAGTCTTGAGCTTCTGGTTCAATCCCTGTAGAATCCAGTTGTAGCCAAACTCTTCCATTCTTAATATCTGATCACTTTTGATATCTGACCAAATGTCCCTCCATGCCTCAGATAATACCTTATCACTCTGACCTGCCTTCACCAAGGATCCCATCAGATCACCCTAGCAAAGAAATCCTTCACCTCATAGCAGATCTGCCTGGTAAAGAAATCCTTCACCTCATAGTAAGTTTCTGCCCACCAACCCACTAGCCTGCTCCTTGATGATAAATCCCCACTTTACTTGGTAAATTCAGCATCAAGCCCTACGCTATACTGAGGTCTGTTCCCCCTAATGACATAGTTTCTGATTAGGATCTGCCTTCATTTATTCCATCTGTGGTTTTCTGTGGCATCAGCCTCCATAAGGAATAAGTAGTGAGGACAGCAATGTGGCAGAACAAAGGAGAACTGGAGACTCAGTGGCCTTTCTAAGCTCTGATTGAACAGTAACTTGTGACTGTCAAGGGTTTTCTGTTTTTGATACAGGCTGTCCAATGTGTATTAGAACAGTAATTGTCTGTGACTGTTGAGCCCGGGTTTCATTAGATGAATGAAATATCATTTCGTTTATTTTAATATTATAGCCTCCTTCCTGGCCCCGATTTTTTCCCCAACTAAGAACTGTCTTTACAGATGCTCTGAAAGCAAGAGAAAACAAGACAGCCTATATTGTTAGCAGTCCAGATCTTGGGTTGACACCTCTGTGGGAAACTGCCACTGATCTTGGCTGGCAAGGTACTGGAGAAGATGCTCCTCCCACCCAACAGACGAGGACAGAGCCCTTGAAGACGATGTTAAATGCCTTACCTTTGCAGATCATTTTTAACTTGCTACAGTACTTTCAAATCCATTAGCTAATTGCAATCTTCAAAACAGTGTGCTAAGGTAGACATTACCCCCATTTGTCAAGTGACAAGTGCAGAGTGCATGGAAAAGGTGAAAACAGTTGCTTAAAATAACTCAGCTCACTCCACTATGAGTCCTTGGTAGTCAGGATTTGCTTTCCCAGAAGAGCAAGTTCACTGCTGACCCTGTTGCAAACGTACAATGCTCAGGCTTTTCCTAGAGCTTGAAGGGCCAGAGTCCAGCAGTGCTCAGCTGCACCCCCAAATTCACACTTACCTCCTAGCCTCAGCGGCAACCAGCTTCCCTTTCAACTCTCGAACATCTCGTTATTTCCCAGTGCCTTTCTTCTATTCAGTGATGTGGTGGTTTGAAAGAAAATGTCCCCCAAAGGGAGGGGCACCATTAGTGGGTGTGGCTTTGTTGGAGGAAGTGTGTCACTTTGAGTTCTCTTTTCTCAAGCTTCCCTCAGTGTGACAGTCAGTTGACTTCCTGTTGACTGCAAGATGTAGCACTCTCAGCTCCAGCACCATGTCTGCCTGCACACAACCATGCTCACCTCCATGCTTGCCTCTGAAACTGTAAACGAGCCACCCAATTAAATGATTTCTTTATACGAGTTGCCGTGGTCATGGTGTCTCTTCCCAGCAATAGAAACCCTAACTAAGACAAGTGAAAACATGATCAAGAACAGAAATCGTATGGGGACTTTTTGACATAGAAGCCCCAAAGGTACTGACTGGGAGACACAGAAAGTAACAGACTACATGTTGAGTTATGTTTGGGGACTGCACCTACTGAGCTAATTAAACCAGAGAACACTGATACAGCCTGACTGGGTTTGAGTTGTTTTCTCAGTTCTGCAACTTTGTTTGACATTCAGCAGATTAGTTCCCATCCACACTGGCTGTCTGTAAATTTTGAATGCAATGACGAAGTTACCAGCAGATAGAGCTTGTTTGGTGAGTCTTCATCCTCATCCTCACTGAGTTTCCTGGACAAACATACATGGAGACGATATGGAACATTCCTTATTCCTTTGTCCCAGTCGGCTATGGTGGACCTGGTATCAACGTGCACATCTGGAGTCCCCATCCCCTTCAGTGCAAGTTTCAGCTTCTCTTTTGAGTGTCCAAGGGACAGGCTTCTTGAAGCCTACTTCATAGATATACAGGGGAGAGTTGATGAGGTATTCTCAGGTTACCACTTCACTAATGGCAGAATGGCCCTTCTTCTCCCCACCCTTCTTTGCAGGAGCCATTCTGCGGGGCCCAGGTTGGAAAGAAAGGATGCAACGGATTGTGCGAAGGAAAGCTGCCTTGCCTGGATTTGACTTTTGAGTAGAATTCAAAATAAGAACAAATTCTTGGGCTGAGAATGTAGCTCAGTGGTAGAATGTCTGCTGGCCATGTTCAAGGCCCTGGGTTCAAACCCTTGTCAAAGAAAGGGAGGGAGGGAGGGAGGGAGGGATGGAGGGAGGGGAGGAGAGGAAGAGGGGAAGAGAGAAATGAATGAATGAATGAATGAATGAAACTGTCTCACACACACACAGTAGAAGAAGGGGAGGAGAAGGGACTTGGTCTCAGTCTTAGAATGTTTAAAAACTAAGATCAAAAGACTAAATAGCCAATGTTAAATGCTTGTTAAATCTCATCTTTTTAAAGATTTAAAGATGTCATTCAAACTTAAATCAAGTGCTAGAAAGAAAAAATGAAACTGATAGTCATCACTGTCAAACTATCACTAATTACCAGCATAGAAACATAGTTTTTAGGTGCACTGGATAAAAGGAATAAAATTTGAGGCACATGTTGCATTGTATTTTCCCTTTTTGCCTAATGCATTTCCCAGATTTGGTAGAGACAAATATTTTTATATTTAAGCACATAATATTCATAATAATGACATAATATTATAAGAAATATTTCTTTCCATGTTCAGTTTTATAAAGATTTAAAACTGATTGTCCCTGAATTTTTTATTAGAGATTATATTGTATGCTATGGAGAAAGGTTGATTAGGAAATTATGTTTGTAAACAAGATGGTAGACAAAAAAAAAAAACATTAAAAGTTCTCAGCACTACTGCCTATGATGGTCTGTATCAGTACATTGTGCTAAAGAGGTGGAGGGGCAGAAGGGTCGAAAGTTCAAGGCCAGACTGGGCTACACCTGTCCATCAATACATCAATAACATGACTAGAGAATAAGGGTGCTTGCCACCAAGTCTGACAACCTGAGATCAATCCCTGGGATCCATATGCTAAAAGGAGAGAACTGACTTCAGCAAGTTATACTCAGAGCTCCACACGTGTTCCTTGGTATGCATGCATGCATGTTCATACACACACACACACACACACAAATAGTAATAATAGTAAAAAAATGGAATAAAAAATAATTCTCAGCTGGAGAGATGGCTCAGCAGTTAAGAACACTGGCTGTTCTTCCAGAGATCCTGAGTTCAATTTCCAGCATCCACATGGTGGCTCACAACCATCTATAATGAGATCTGGTGCCCTCTTCTGGTCTGCAGGCATCCATGCAGATAGAACACTGTATACATAATAAAATAACCTTTAAAAATAATAATAATTCTTAGCACAAACACTGAATAAGAAATTTCAGTCAAAAAACATAAAGCTGCACACCTTTAATCCTAGCACCCTGGAGGCAAATGCTGGAAGATTTCTGTGAGTTTGAGCCCAGTCTGGCCCATATAATAAGATGAAGATCAGCCATGGCTACACAGTAAGACCCTCTCTCTCTCTCAGAAAAAAAAATGACATAGATCATTAAGATAAAAGACTAAGCATTTGCCACTTAATAAAATTTACCCATAATCATTGTAAGTTTTGTTTGTATCTATATATGTATTGTGGATAAATAAAATGCATAGTAATCTCCATTTAGTAACTTCCTTCATATAGAAATCAACAGTTTGATATTTTATCATAATATAAACAAGATAGGATAGATTAACTAAAAATCTCTAATTTCCATAATTTTATTGTCATTAAGTCTATTTGGAAATATATGAGAGACGTTCATAAGAGTGTTCCCACCATAAAGCTTAAAAAAGCAACCCCCAAGAAAATTATAGTCAGTACCCTTAAAGAAACAAAATAAGATTGTACTTCCACAAAGTGTGACTAGAAGGCCGTGAAACAGTAAATCGGAGGATATACAGAAAAGAGGTTTTCAGGCGTTAAACCAAGTTTTACAATTTCTTTAACAGAGTAGGAAAATAAGCGAGGTAAAACAGAATATAGCTCAGATGGGCGGAGAAAAACAAGGAGTGGGAATTCTCAAAGATATAACACAAGAAGCATTCTCAGATCTAAAGAATATAAGTCTCTGGAGAAAAAGAACCCACGTAATAAATGAAGAAAGATACACAAAGGATGGTCACTGAGAACTTTCACAATACCAAGTTGGAGAATGTGGTTGCTAGCCTATGATGCTACAAAATAATTCAGTGATGTCTCCAAATTATGACAATTATTGTTTTCTACCTATAATAGTATGCCTAGTCCACCTACCTGCTTGGGTTCAACATAATTTAGTAAACCAAAGCCATTTCAAAGATGAAAGAATTCCAAGACTCCAGTCCCAGAACACTGTTCAGGCAGGACACACTGTAGGTTGAAGGTTTTGTGGCTGGGTTGGTGTCCCAAGCCCTCCACTTGAGGCCTTGCCTGGTTACAGAAGATGGCCAGTACAGAATCCATTAACCTCACTACAAGGAGTCTTTGCTAGGGTTACTCTCGTAAAGTCCATGGAGTTTCCATTGCACTAGGTTTCCACCTCGCCCTTGAAATGCCCCCGCCCCAATTCCAGTCGTTTCTCCAAATATTTTCTTCCTCCCTCTCCCCCAACCTGATCCCTCCTGTTTGCAACCCCGTGTGCCCCCAGTCCACCCTCAAAATCTATTCTATTTCCCCTTCACAGTGAGATTCACGTGTCCCCCCCTTAAGCCCTCCTTGTTACCTAGCCTCTCTGGTTCTGTGGGCTGTAGCATGGTTATCCTTTATTTTACAGCTAATATCCACTTATGAGTGAGTACATACCATGTTTGTCTTTCTGGGTCTGGAGTACCTCACTCAGGATGATTTTTTTTCAAGTTCTGTCCATGTACCTGCAAATTTCATGATGCCATTGTTTTTAACAGCTGAATGATACTTTATTGTGTAAATGTACCACATTTTCTTTATCCATTCTTTGGTTGAGGGGCATCTAGGTTGTTTTTAGTTTCTGGCTATTATGAATAAAGCTTCCATGAATATAGTTGAGCAAGTGACCTCGTGATAGGATCGAGCAAATGGTACAGCTGGGTCTTGAAGTAGATTGAGTCACAGTTTTCTGAGAAACCACCATGTTGATTTCCAAAGTAGCTGTACAAGTTAGCACTCCCACCAGCAATGGAAGTTTCATAACTGGCTAGTACAGTAACTAAACATCATTAAATATCTATTTTGAGAGTATAAGGGGGCAGAAGAGAAAGTATAGAAATACTTTAAACTTTCTTCACTAATATGAGATCAAACCTTGATGAATTAAGTTTAGCAGAATATTTTGAAGGGTCAGACACTGATAATTTTATTATAAAATTTTGAGTTCACTTTAGGGACATTGATAAGTAAGTTAATATACGTTACCTTGATTAAAGATAGAATTTAGGGTCCAAAAAAATGGCTCAGCAGGCCTCCAAGCCTGACTACCTGAGTTTGGTCCCTGGGATACACATGATGGAAGTAGAAAACTAACTGCCACAAATTGCCCTCTGACCTCACATGCATGTTATGGAACATGTGTATACAAACGCACACACACTTAAATAAAAATAAATACAACTTAATTCTCTTAAAAACAACAACAAGGATCACGGTGTGGTGGTGTGTGACTGTAACCCCAGCTACTCAAAAGGCGGAGGCAGGAGGATCACTTGAGCCCAAGAGTTCAAGGCCAGCCAGAGAAACATAAAACTAAGGGTAACTGTCTTAAAAATAAAATAATGATAAAAATTCTAAAGTTAGTAAATTGTGAAGTGCCTGCAGCTTGGTGGTGACCTGAGAGGGGCACAGTCTAATCCCAGCATTCCAAATTCTAAAAGCCTCTATCTCTCCACTTTAGTTTCCTTATTTGAAATCTGAGCTAAAAATTGCTTTCAACTTTACACTCATATGCTCAGATCTGTTCAGCTTCAGCGAGGCTATTCCTTCTGCCTTCCTTTCGATGATTCATTAATGATTCATAAAAAGTACCATATGACAAACTGCCTCCAGGACCCTTAAACAGCCAAAAGCATTCTTCTCTGACCCAGGGACTTTTCGTGCTCCTGAGCTCCAAGACAGGAAGCATCACCAGGTAGCAAAAG